GCACAGACGCTATTCATGGTTAATATAATGCTAAACGTGCAAAACCTGTAATATTTAAGGTTACACAAGTAGTAATAAACGGCTAATCTTAGAATATATGCCGGGAATTCTAAAAATTTCCGGGAAAGTATCGTAAAAATTCTGGAGGATGATCAAAAATTTCCGGGACGACTTAAGTTGACCTAGTATTGCTCAAACAGGGTTTGTTAGAGTTGTCACCCCCTGTTAAATTGAAATTCTTACCGAACTTTCTAGAAGGTTTTTGTACCTTAGAATGCATATTATAATTCATTTTTACGTTATTTTTAATCGTGCGTAACATTCCTTGCTTGCTTAATTGATGATACAGTAATAATTTCAAAACCGTTAGAATGAAAGTAGACAAAATAATGAGTTGAAACTGTAAATTCCAATTACGTTTTATGCTCTTACCAGTACGTGGAGTGGAGAAATAAATAAGATACAAAAGCAGTACGCAATAAACAGTGAGTGAAAGTGGAAAGTGGAAAGTGAAAGTAGAGTTCTAAGCTTCTGTTAGGTTGTTCAGTTGTACAAGAAGTTCAGTTGCCGTAGATCCCCGTTATCAAGAACTATTGACATATTTCTTCCCTTCCGTCGACCGAGCAGATGGTCAGAGTTAGTTTCTCCCGATTTGGTCAGTCCAGTAGAACAGTTTAGTACATTCCGTTTTCCTATCCTTCCCTGTATAGTCCAAAAGTGTTGTCCAAGTCTACGTTGAAATCTATTTTTAGTTAGAAATGACTTCAACTAAAAATAATCTTAACGATGTTCTCGACCTTCACAGCGCTGGACAGAGTTATAAGTTTTTGAGTGGAAATTTGCTTTGGAAAGAAAACGTTGCTACTCCGCCTTTCGAAAAAAATGAAAATGTTCCTTCATCGTTCCTCCTCTACGATAGGTAAATTTGACGTGACTACATGGCAGGCGCCATTAAAATCACGCCATAATACTATGAGAGTGAGGACGGGAATTTCGACATCAGAAATGTATCAAAACGTAAGAGCTCCAGTTTCTTGCGAAGTAAAGAAAATTATGTTCATAAACCTAATAAGATAAAGACACGGAACAAGCGATTACAAATCTCATACCTGCGTGCAACAGTAACACCAAAGCAACAGAAAATAAGGCTGACTTCATTTCGCCTCCAAAGCCTGAAACGTTTTGATAACTACGACCAGCACTCTTCAGAATTAACTGAAGGTTTGTGCGTGTTTACTTAAGAATGACTTTTTAACTATTTTTACTGACCACAGTGACTGAAAGGAAATGTGCGTCACGGAACATTCAAGTGTCAATATGTATTTCATAATGAAAGAAAAGTGGCCACGAAAAGATAGACAATTTATTAAAATTTAAAATGTTAACAAAAACGTCTCCTGTGGCTCCAGTTTGTGTAAGTGGATTTTACAAAAAGGAAAATATTTTGGTTTCAGCGGTATCAGCTAGTGTTTCAGCAGACGTATTTACTTTCCTTCAAAAATTTGGTCACATTCCCACACAAGTCTGAAAATAATCCTCAGCAAATATGTATTGTGACTGAGGTCCGGTCCCAATATAGTGTAACCATATAGTTCTCAAGAGGAACGGCAGTATTATCTGTTCTAAGAATTTTGAAAATCGGAGGTGCAATTTGCGTAATCAAGTAATTCTAGGTCAAGTCAAGGTCATATGTATCGAGATCTTACTGATTGTCTTTGTGCATTTTCTGTAAATACCCTCGCCTTAATACACGAAAGCTTCTCGACATAAGTAGTGAATATGGTTGCTTTGATAACAATATGAGAATGGCAAAGGGGTTGTACGTGACAACGCGATTAAGTCCCAAATTAATACATGACGCGTGAATAATACAATAATGCGAGGTAAGCTGAGACTTGAATTTTTCCCTTGACGCCCGAATGTTGTTTAAAGTACACATGAGACACAAATTTTTGTTAAAATCATCCGTTAAACGGAATCAGGACCTCCTCTTTACCCTCCAATACCCATTTACTAGTGGCTGAGTTACTCCTCTGTGAGATTCTCTGTCTCTTTTTTCCTTCTCGGTATTCAACTGATCGATATTGTGATTGCGAATAAATATGGATATTAAACGGCACTAATCTAAACAGGTATAAGCCTTTTAAAGAGAACAAAGGTTAAAACCAAGCCGATACAACCACCAAATCTCCATAAGAATATCTCGTGTCGACTTCATAGAGCACACTAACAATCGAAGATCAAAACCATTTTAGGTAAAAATACGTTTATTGTTACCACGAAGAATCTATTTGTTCACGGCTGATGTGCAAATTTTTTTATGTTTAAGGTGGACGGCCGGGCCCCCGATGAAGGGAGATGCAGTGCCCGCCGACCTACAAGACTAATCCCACCCATGGCTGGCGTGCAAGGCCTTAGGGTTGGGGTCCACCAGAAACGAGGGACACCAGTCGCCAACTTCGCTGGGGAATCGAACTCCACCTCACTGGAACCAAAAATTGAACACACACACGCAAAAGAACAAACAGAAAACTAAAACGACAGAACGACACAAGCCCAGTGCAGTACACCAATATTAACAATCTCTTTTATCAAATCTCTAGTGATATCGTGCGAAAGAGCTCTCTTAATGGTACGTGGTGAAACATGTTTTCTTTTCTGCTGTCGGAACGGAGCTGTTGGTTATCGAAGTAAGATAGTGCTTACACTCACGTAAAATCCAATACAAACAGTCCTATCTCATTCTTTCCTAGAGTTGAATAAAGGCTGATAGTTTCTAAAGAAAATGTTTGCGGCTGCGTCGGTGGGGGTAACGAAATAATTTGAATATATCAACAAAGTTGAAATGGTAAATTGGCCACCGTTATGATTATAAAAGCTGACGTTTCGAGCGTTGGCTCTTCGTCGGAGCGAATAGAGGAATTGTGAGTTGTGTGTGCTTTTAAAGGCAGAAAATAGAGCTACGTTATTGGTGGGAACATGGCAAGGAGAAAACACGAATAAATTAGTGGAATAAAAAGCGTTCGTTGATAAATGTGGGATTTAGACTGCCGATTTGAAAGATGAGCTTTTGTTCAAGAGTTTTACGGCTTTCCGTGCTACCTAACTGTTAGGAAAGACCGCATATTTCTAAGCAACATATGGTATCAACGAACGCTTTTTATTCTACTAATTTATTCGTGTTTTTCTCGTTGCCATGTTCCCACCAATAAAGTAGCTCCATTTTCTGCCTTTACTGAGCACACACAACCCACAATTCCTCTATTCGCTCCGACGAAGGGCTAACGCTCGAAACGACAGCTTTTATAATCATAACGGTGGCCAATTTATCTTTCCTAGAGTTAATCCATTACTGAAGAAGCAAATGTATTTTCATTACAATCATTGAAGCTTGGAGGGAAAATTGCACAAACGTGAATGCATCCATCTCGATTTTTCTGTGGGTAGCTTCACATTCTGACAGTAAATAATGTCAAAGCGCCCTTTTGTTCTAGCGAAATGTCGCTTAAGACGCCTCGAACATTCGCTAGAACTTTCGAGGGGAGATCACTACAAAAAACATCGTAAATTCGCGTATTTTGTTTGCATTAATTTTGCAAAACAATGTCAGCTGTAAAAAGTAACACAACACCGCTGCAGAGCTAGACGAAGCACTCAATAGTATTTTATTTGTAACCGATTCAGATTTGATTACTATAATTAATAGCGTCTCGTTGTTTTCACGTTTTTCTCCAGATTTTCCACTTTTCTCCGCAATAGCTGGTTTCGTTTCTCAATTCTGCTTAATTTCCCTCGAGCTTGTTGTATTTGCCAGTGTTGAGACTCTGCGTCTTGGCCCTGTGACAGGTGGGTCGATGTGTGTGCATGGGATGTTGACGCGGTATTTGACGCATAAACGTTTATCAAGCGAAAACGGCTGAGGGACTGGGTTCTTCGGAGCTGGTCTCCACTTCGTTGACGTTCCGGTGACACCTGAGGACTCAAATTAACTTAGTAAGACTTGATAGCATCCTATTGAGCAGTTATTGAAAATTGTTTCAATACCATTTGTATTTGTTAATTAAAACAAACGAAAAGTTTTGAGACATTATCATCATCAGGTTTTGCATCCATGGCGCAGCTAGTTATTTATTTATGTAAACTTTGCACTGACTGTCATTATTCGGGCAAAAGATTGACTCCTAAGTGGCAAAAAGAAACTGTAATTCTGGCACTTAAGCACATGTCAGCCAAAGCAAATGAAAATTCATCAGATGGTGTAACAACCCTTTCACTTATACATTGTATGAGAGGGCCAAACAGTCTTTCTTTCTGTCACATACTTTACGCAGAACGACGGTCCTTGATCTGACTGTGTTTATTATTATCTCAGTGTTGTCTGTTACCTAATTTTTTCATGTTTCACAGCTTAATGGTTGCTCGGTCGATCATTACTCAAAGTGGTACTGAAATTAATTGAATGGCCATACTCTCTTTCGAGTTAGTACTTTTTTAAGATTACTCCGACATCAAATACCTCTGTGAATGTCCTTGCACGACGCCTTCCGACAGCAGCACTGGTGACGCCAGAGCTGAGGGAAACTTGTTTTCGTAAGTGGCGGTGGTTCCCTGTTGTTGGTCGACGTGTCTTTGATCGAGAGACAAAACAAACAGGAGTCAATCGTTTACACCCTACCATCAGTATATGTATTCTCCATGCTGATCCAGATAGATTTCCTCAGGTGCTGACGAGGAGAATTTGTTTAACGATCAAGAGCGTCTTAAGTTGGTGATCATTTCTTTTTTTATTCTCATGACCTTAATGTTTAATTCAGGGGTGATGTTGTAAGGAGAAATCAGACGCTGATCACTCCAAGGGGTCAAAGGGTCAACAGAATCCTGTGAACCGCGCCTTACGTCTGCTTTTACATTTACACTGATTCCTGACTGGTTCTGTTGTGCAGACGATTAATGGCCTTTTTTAAACGAAATATTCTATATTTCTCTACAGGTATTTTTTTAACAAAATGTACCGTTATATGGACTTCTGATTTCAAAGAGTTTTTACCGTAATTTTCCTTAGTCAACATAGCGAAAAAACTCGAAAACCTCACCTCTCCTGAAGTGTTTTTATCTGGGGTCTCGTTTGCCCTCGTGTCCTCTGTATCCTTCTCAACACCTTCATCGTTGTTTTCTTCTTCCTCCTCTATCTCTGTTTTCTTTTTCTGAATTCGTTTTAACCTCTTCCGCTGCTCTTCCAAATTTTCAATTTCCTTCTTGAAATCAATTAATTGCTGTTTGCACGTGTCACGTGCCTCGTGAATTGGAGTGTACCATCTACGTATGTCATAAAACAAACAATGGAAAAATTATCGTATTTAGCTTTGATTCATTTATTGGTCAGACACATTATTTATAGTTCAGGAGATTCGCAGCATAGCCATGAAAATTTGCTCCGGGGATGGGAGTTCACAAAAAACAAAAAACTCTTTACTAGCTCTACAAAAATTGCTTGCATCTTTATTATAACAAACATGTCATCACTCTACCTTTCAGAGGGTAGAAGTTCATTCTCATATTTCTTAACATCTTCCTCGCTTTCCTCCGTGACGTTATCAAGCACAGGCGTTGGGGTGCGATTCGCCTTCCTCGTTGGTGACTTTATTCTGTTCTTAGCCATCTGACCACATCCCGTTTCATCGCTTGTTTTCTCACCGAGGGCCTCATTTGGTGACCAGTCCTCAATGACGATAATTGGAGGCTGGCCAGTCTCTTCAACCTCTCCTGATGATGGTGAACTCTTCCTTCGTTGACGAATATTTCTCATCCATTTACTAGCAGCAAATGAAACATTCCATGGATTCAAAACTGGACTTCGTAGAGAAACAGAATCTTCATCTGACGAGCTGTGGTCATAGTTTGGTGGGTCACCCAAAACATCAAAAAGGCTTCTCTCGAATCTCCGATAACTTTTAGGAGAGAAACGGCGGCCGGGTATTCCAGTGTTGATAATTTCTTTCACAACCACATTCGGCTTTTGAACGGCAGGTTTTTCAACAGGAACAGAGGGCAAAAATTTTGGACTGCTCGTTCTGCTGTCCTCCTTAAAAGTTGCTTTTCCAGTGTTATCTTCCTTGGATGCAGACTTTCCTTTCCTGTTTCTCTCGTCTCCTCTTCCCCTTTTGTTTTTTCTTTTCTCTTTCTGCTTTCCTCCTATCTTCCCTGGAGTATTCCCATTCTTTGTGATTTTTGGCTCAGCATTAACAGATGTTTCATCAGCAGTAGAAAACACAGAGCCTTTAGTATGTGGACGTACTGCGACATTTTTTAGCTGCTTTCCGACACTTTTTGCTCTACGACCCATTGTTGGTGACCTTGACATACGATCTCTCGCCGGTGCACTTCTTGGTTTAGACGTTTCTAAAGTGGGTCTGTTAAACTGTTCAAGTGCTCTTTTACTCGAAAAAGGAAAATTAGCTCTGCCATCAGTGTCATTCTTGGAATTTCTTCTCAACAATAAGACGGCTTTCACGACTGCTGCAGCGCTGCTTGTCAAGATGGCAGATGATCGTCGCCTTGACCGAGGAGGCACGAAAAGCTGCTCCGCCTTCTTCGGTGCTCCGGGCATTTCATCGTCGTGATTTGGCTTTCTCAAATGATACCTACAAACGTAAGTTGTATGTGTAAAGTTATTATTATCTAGGTTTCTCCCTATACAATGGAGATTGCCTGTACCTTTTCCTTGCCAGAAAATTAAAGCCGAAGATGTGATACAAAAAGGAAAGCTGATTTTTTTCTATCCACCTTATTCCTATTTTCTGATCTCGGGTTTATCTGGAAGGCACAACAATAGATAAAGTCTTCCCCCGGACGAAGGGGCCCACAAGGCGTTAGCCGGCTCATCTGAACCTGATCGCCAAAACTTAAAGCACCCGGGAGTATGGCAGTGACAAGATGATGGTCTCCATGGCTCTCCTCTGGTTTTCCTGGCAGTTTGCCGGTACTCAATTATCCTCCTGTCTTGTCTAGGAACACAACACGATGGCGCGACTAAGTCCCGAAACGGACCTCTCAACCCCAATGTTTAGCGCGCTTATCGTTAGGGTACCGTGTCTCCCTGTTTTGAGCGTGTTTAAAACTGAGCTTATGAAGCTCTCCTCTGAGGTTTAAAATGATATAAAAGTTTTATGAATATGTTAAGAATTAGTCAGATATACAAGCATTAATTATACCTTGATAGTGGAAGATAAAAAATTTTATCCTAAAGTTGATAAATATCCACAACTAATATCACCTTTTAGCATCTCCATATTCCACAGCCCGAAAGAGAATTGGAGTCATTTCGCTCCTGTCAATTGTGGCTTGATATTTTCCCGCCATTTCTAACAGACTGGTGATCGTACACCTCTTGAAGCTCTGCCAGATGTCACTGTCACGGATGTAATGCTTAATGTCGTTGTCGTTGAAGAAACAGCGGCGATTCTGACTAAGCATTTCGATAATACTCTCGTTGGTTTTCAACGCCCACCTATGGTATCACAATGTACAGTAATTTCCATCAACAAACTGACAGATTGTGGTACGTTATGAACTAGATAACAATTACTTGTGAAAAATTGTTTCATTAGTGTGATTATTCAAGCTAAACCAGATATTGAAAAATCAAACTTACCTTACATTGTAATAAATATGAACCAGATATTGAAAAATCAAGTCACTTTACATTGTAACAAATAAAAAGTTCATGTAAAATAACTTTCCAACAGAAGTCGACAAGGATAACACTTACTTCCAAATTACTGATCTGGGCCCAGTTGTACAAAAGGCGAATAATACAATCCGATAGATAAGTCGCTATCCATTGAATAATTGATAGCAAAACTTACTGCGTTGTCCACTGGATAGCGTTATCAAACCCTCGAACAACCGGGACCAGAAGGTTAACTATTTCAGTGAACTCTAAAATTGTATATTTGGATGTCAACTGTTTAACAGTTTTATCAATTTTTTGGGAATCGATTTTGGTATTTATGTAAACAAAAAGACTACATAGAAACTTACTTGTTGACCAGGAAACAAGTGACGGTACCGATGCTCACAACACTGCAGAAACAAGGACTGGAATCCAGAATGGTGGATTCACCGAAAAATTCACCTAAAGGATGGAACAACAGCGCTAGTATTTGTTGACACTGACGCGTGCGATGGAGCAATTTTCATTTGAGTGTCGAAAGCAATTCGGTATATCGCTTCTCTTTTTTGATTGGTCTAATAAGCTCGCGCCGCTCTCTCAACCAATCAGATGCAACACTAAAACCAATTAGGACTTGGTCGCCCGCGTTTTCCCGCGCTTAAGGCAGTTTGATTGTTTTTACTTGGAGTTGTCATTGGTTTTTAATGGTATTTTCCTTTCATCCGATTGGTCGTTGTGATTACTTTGGTTTTCATTTTACGGCAGTCAATCGAAAAGCGCACTAAATGGAGTGGAATTAAGAAAAGGGAAGTAGCAGCTACAACCTACCCTTTTCGATTTGTCCAAGTTTGACTATTTCACCTCGGTTAACTTCGTCAATAAAGATACTCCTGTAGTACTGACATCTTCCTGTTCGTAAGGAAAAAATTCATTATATTTTGACTATAGATTCATTCGGCACTCTCTGTTTCTGAAAAAAAAATTATCAACACGTTGACCTCGGTTCGAATTCTAATCAGTTTCTACTGCGAAAAGAACGAATGGGGTTATCAAGGCATAATATCGCATGTAATTCAGCCACTGAACGGATGTTGGCCACAAAATGACGATGAACTCACCCGGTTTCTTACTTCGGCTAACTCTAAATGCATTGCACACAGAATAACAAGATGATAGTAATCACATTATGCCCGTTTGCTTTCCGGAAACATTCAGTCTGGACAAAGTACCGACCGACCCACTACAGGAAAAGTTAATGTTATGATATGGTGAGGATAAAGGGAATGCCACTAGTTATAAATTTCTCTTCACTCCTGTGAAATATTCTTGTGAGCGGCTTCTTTTTAGTTTGGCTATTAGATAGGGAGAGTAAAGAACAATTTTATTCTGACCCCTATGAGTCAAAGGAGTTTAAAGGTAACAAATTTTCTAAAGTCACCTTGCCAACAAACCATAAAGGCCACAAAATAACGAATTACGCATGAAATAGATAAGCGATATTCTCAATGGTGACGCTTGATCATCAAATCTTAATCTCTTACAAGTCAGCTACATGACCAATTTTCCTAAACGAACCAATCTGTTTAACGAACTATTGGAATGTCACGAACTTCTTTTCAACCAGGGGTAGTTGATGTTGCCTCGATCTGCATACAGTTGAATTGACGAAGACATTTTCTTTATGTCTTTTACTGCTGAAAGATCGATCCAAAACAATAATACCTTTTGCAACAAAAAAGAGATGCTCTGGGAGATCCCCTTGATTAACAATGACTTTTCCTGCGGGATATTCCTTCAAGACACAAAGAAATGATAAATGTGTTAGCAATTTATCGGCAATAGGATATTACCATGTGAAATGTCCGTAGGTTTAAACGAACGGTATCAAAAGCCAAGCGCTGGGTAAAATATCCTTTACTTTGATTTCACGAGATCTGCCTTAAACTTACTTAAGTAAACCTTGAAAACTGATGTTGACATTTAAGGTCATTTTTTTTCCACAGGTTAGCGCATGATAATGTTTTAGATGACATATATACTATAAAGGACATCACACATAAAACGTCAACATGCAAATATTTATTTTCTATTAATTTTCATTCCGTCCTTAGATACTCAGTGGTTTCCCAAGTCTATTTTGACTACGTAATGAGATCTTCTGGCAGCTGAATTTAAACGTAACTTCGCTATAAACTAAAAGTTAGTACAAACTACTAAAAAAAAAAAATGTGAAAACAACTCATTCATAATAAGTATCTGAAATTCGTAAAATCAGTCGTAAACCTACCTGCATTGCCATCAAACCAACTAATTTCCTCTTCTCTTCCGAAGGCAGCGCTTTCAAAGCGGCGACTTCCTCAATAAACATTTCAATTTCTTGAACATAGCGATTTTGAACTCGCTTGACGACGCTGTGAAATCTGTCGCGGTCGACTCGCAATAATTCAGTGACTTCCACGCTTCGTATACTGTCTGGCGGAGGAAGATCGAACTCTCTTCCATCTCCAGATACAAGACCAAGATATTCGCCAGCCACGTGTGTATAGGTTATTTCACAGTCGTGCGACTTTTCAGTCGCTGTGGGATCGCCAGATGAGCCGTTGTTAATATCATATTTAGCTTCCACAGATCCGCTCAAAATATAGTAACACGAAAGACAACCTTCTCCTTGTTGCTTACAAATTTCAACATCAGCCTCGATTTTTTGGTACGTGACAACATGGCAGAGCGCTTCCTTAATAAATTGAAGGCCTTTATGAATTTCTTTAAGCGCCGCGACAACTGGTTTTACGACATGTAGTTCGTCGGCTGACCTTCGAGCAGTGGAGCGTCGCTGTAAAATCTCTAAAGTCTTGTCGGTTAGCACAAATCCTGCTTGTGCTTTAAAAAGTCTCTTGTTGAAAACGGGTGGTAGATTAGGAACTGAAATGTTCGGTCTTGTTTCGCACAAAATTGGCATTATGGATATTTTTGAAATGGCACTTTCGAAAAGAAGGAATAACGGGTAGCCTTCGTTTCGCCCTTTTACGTCATAACCTGAGCACTGTCTTTTTCCTTGTAGTCGTCATATCTATCGTTTCTCCCTTAACGTTTTAAACTCCAACTCGTTTTGTTGTGGCCTGACCATAAACAAACCAGGTAGCCATCAAAGCGAAAAGTTATGTAAATTAGGCTTTTCCCAAGCAGGTGTAAAGCTCAGTAATATCTATCATCTTCAGCTCTTGTCAATAAAATCAGTGAGGACTGCCATCTGTTGTCAAAAAATATATTCAGCTTAATCAAGACCAACCATTAACAAGTTGGCCCTAAATGACAATACTGAAAATGGCATCCTTCTGACGCGACGGTCAAAGCTAGATTCGGCTTAAGGGTAAATCTCCTTTCATGGATGCAAATTATAATAGTCGAGTGTCCAAAAGAGGTAAAGTTGGAATACTTGTTTCGTAGATATACTATGTTTGCAATCTGACAATTTAAAAAACAGATCATTGAAGAATATTCCATGATATGAAAATGACTTTATATTTTCAAATACATTATATGATTCGCATGATAAACACTTCAGCTTTTTGGCTGGTTGTTCGAAGCGACTAAGAAAGTAAATGCCACATTATCGCAGTTTTAACAAAAATTAAAATTTTTAGAACAATGCAAAATGAGTCATAATCATTATACTTTTATTAGAACGGGAGTTATTCACTAGATCAGAACTCTGGCTCTTACCGAAGACGTGTCTCTTCAACCAAGATTACTGAACGTAATCCAACAAATCCTCACAGAAAAGTGAATTTTGTCACGCAGTATTCCGTCACGCCGCGCTACCTCAAAAGTTGTTGTTGATCTCATAGGTAATTCTCCGTACTGTTTACGATAAAATCTTGATGCTAGTTTCGAGAATTTTATTTTGGATCAACTGATTATCCCCTAATTGTTATTTTCCTTTTTCTCATTACTTGTCTGCTCGATTTTGTATTGATATTGTCAGGAGAAATTCTGTCTTGGTCACTGATGGAGCTAACGGTGAAGGCTACTTCCTGCAATGGTTCGTTTTGCCTAGTCTTTCTCCTGGGTCGTCAGAAATCAGCTGATCAGCACAACGATAATGATTCGATATTTGTTTCTACCGCCTAAGAAGTCATCATGAGACAACTAAGGAGCAGTTCGCCAATTAAGTTTTTTTCGTCTGATTCGTGAAACAACTTCTTATTTTTGCCATTTTCCAAATGGCAAAATTTTTACAGTCCTTATAGGCCCACAAAGCGGAAATAGAAAACGAAAATACCTTAATATTTTTGGTAATTTTAAGAAACTAACAAGCTTGTTGTCTAGATTCCCCGATAAAAGTAAACCAGTGACAGTTTAATGTTAGGACTGGTAAATTTGTGAGAATAGTAATCATAATACCAATTAATGGTATAAATACCTAAATAAACTTTTCCTGAAATCATCCCCTAATTACACCTTCATGTAACTGTGAAAAACCCTCGCAACGCTCTGAAAAGTTTGCGATGATCAACTCCGATGGCATCTAGCCGCTTGAGAGACTTTAATATCAGTCGTTCAGTTCACGAGTCTAGTTTTTCTATCGATTTGCTTAAGTATACTTTACAATCAGCTTACACATGTTAGTTTTATTTATATATTTCCAATTCGCTTCATCTTGAAATGTTGGATTCAGTCATTAAGTCGATCTCTTTCCCGTGATCTTCCGGCTTGCGTAGTAGTATTTAATATTGGTACACCGTGAGTAGGAACGAGAGTCGAGAGTCACACTAAGCCGTATGACGATATGGAAAAACAACAAAATAATGGCATGACTGAGGAGGGATTGAAAGAAAACTGAGCACCAGACCACAGCGAAGAGATATCTTTAGCGGAATTACACATCAGCCAACTGGCAAAGTCTCAATTACAAACGTATCGAATAATAGCAATGAATCCATTTCCATCTATCAAGCTTTCAATCGGAAAATTCTACACCATTGCTTATGGACTTAAGGACTTAGCGAGAGCCCAACGAAGAATGCGTGAGACCCTTCACATAACTTTTACTTACGTGACAGAATCTTTGTGGATGCGGCACGTGTATGGTCTTAAAATAACCTGGCCTAAGAACTTTCAATTTGAAAAACATACAACCATTAAGAGTTTGTCTTAGGCGCTTGTCTCATGAGAGTGGAAATCAGCAGGTACATGCAGATGAACCGGTGACTTATTGAACACGGAAATCAGAGGAATCTTTGAACCAGTCGCTTCTATTTGCCTTTGCTCCAATTTGCGTGTGACAGAAGTGAGACAACGAGCGTGGTTACGATTACCGCCGAACGAAATCCGATCTTTGATAAAACTCGCAGCCGGCCATGACTTTGCGTGTCTTTCTGGCGTAAGAGGAACAAAATGAGGTTTACGCGCTTCTTGTTGTTGAGTTTTGTTGGTTTAAGCTTTATGTGCTTCATCGCCACTTTACTGCTTCCAAAAATCAACGAACGGAACTTGATCCACTTACCGTCCAAGACGTTTTCAAGGTACGCAGAATTTCTTCGCACAAAACTCAGTCCGTCCACGCTGATCGAGTGAGTAACTCTCTTCATACTTTATACGTTAACGCCATTTAGATTTAAAACACAGGTTTGGTGAAAGGAATACGAAGACAATGATTTGAAAATAAGAAGGGGAAAGTCAAAACAAGCCACTGTAGGATAGGATTATAAACAATACGCTTTGTATCTCTGGATCTGACGAAGTAGGTGCAGCGAATTTTTATAAACACGGCACGTTATATATCAGTACGTACCTTCGTTTGATTTATTTTTGTTAATTTAGTTCGGTACGTTAAATGTCGCGAATCTCCCTAGTCATGCCAGTCTCCCAAGAATCAGCTGTTGTTTTTACTTGTCACGATTTTGGAGCATCTTGTAAAGCTTCCTACAACCGAGGGTAATTTCATGAGTCATATGTGATCAATTCGATTTCACTTGATTGAAAACCTAATGGCCGTTCGCTTCAAAGTGAATGCATCGAGAAACAAAAGGGTAGTGCAAATAAATCAGGTACAAATGAATTGAAAGTTTGCCTTTCTATCGCTTATTGCGCGCATAACAGATAGTCTGTGGATTGTGGCCTTGGCAGAGTAAATCTAAGTGAAAGCCCTTGATTGACAAGTCGCCCATAACCTTCAATTAATTATTGTCCAGCTGTCACTTATTGCCTTCCTTTATACGTTCCCATTATCCGCCGAATAACTTGCAAAGATGGTGACACCGATCAGAACTCTGGGTATCGGTGATGATTTGATTGTTCTCCTGATTTCGCTGGTTGATTACACTTTGAAAATTAGGTCAAATTACGAGCACTTTCCGCCATCTTTGATTTTTCAGGCACTTGTCCCAGTGTAAATTTCTCCGTGCAAAGTAAGGGTGGCGCTTCATTTATCTGATTGTTAAGGATAGGGTCTGTCTTTGAGCTTTGTTTGTTTGGCAAAAGGCAATATATTCTCCTCAAAGAAATAACGAGGAATATAAAACGAAGAAACACGTTCTTGCACTCATTTCGCACTTCTCGTGGTTAAGGAAAGAAAATTGAGATAGTCGGTTGGATTTCTGGGTAAAGTTTTCAAAATTTTTTTAAAATTTTTGAATTTTCAGACCTGTTTGGTCAGTCTAAATGATAATGAAACATCCTAAACAACGCATAAATAACGGCTCTGAGCCACCTCGTTATCTCACGGCGAGAGTTTGCTATTAATTTGTATGGAAGGTAAAAAGGGTGAATTCTCTCTCTCTCATTGAGTGATAAACCAATCTAAGAGTGACCACAGCATCTAACTTTTCCTTACAGTAATAATTCTGAATCATTTATTTAGTTGTAACATGAGAATAAGGAAGTTATCGCCTGCCCAAGAAGCTTTGATTGTTAAACAAATTCTCCTAGTCAGCACCAAAGTAAATGTATAAAGAACGGTATGGAGACCATGGATGCTGATTTTCGAGTGAAAAAAGTTCACACGTCTCGTTAAAAACTAGAATTTTTCATTCGTGCTAAACTTATCATTTTGCAGAAATCGTTACGTGCAAGCAGCAAGCAACGACTTACGCCAGGTGTCTTCTTCAACGGAACCGCAGGAGGGCGACGCTGAATCTAAGAGTGTTAAAGCCGTTGATCGCGAAATTGAAGGACTGCTGAACGCTACAAAGCGACAATCTGAAGAGCTGGAATTAGAAGATGAGGATGAAATCCAAGAAACGTCTACAGAAGAAAGCCAAGTGCAATACGATGAACTAAGGTAGATATCTGTCAGTGTGAGACACATTGCAGGGGAGAAGTTGGAGAGACAAGGGACTATAATAAATTGCATCTAAAATTCACAAATATTTCGAGAAAAAGCACTTAGACAAGATGAAAGTTCCCTCGGGCCAGTAACTCGCTAGTAAAGGGGCCCCCTTACTCCTTGAAAATTCTACCTAAGCTTTTTCTTCAATCTTTTGTCCATCGTATCCTTTTTTTTTTTTAATCCCTGTCTTCAGGAAAAGTCATTGCTATTTATCGAGCTCAAAGATAGTGATTGTGGGATGCTTTAAATCATGTCATTTGGACCGCTTATTGCTAATCCTCCTCAGGCGATCAAGTCACCTGCTTTAGCATCGTGCTTTGCTGTGATTGGTTGATTTTCAACAACTGTCATAGTATGTATCAGACAAGGCATGACTATAACGATTTCAACTTTCCATTCTGCTCCACAATAAGTGCTAGAACAAAGATGTGTTTTAGCAGCTAAAGCTTATAGGTCACTAAAACGGCTAATCTCAACCCGTCAAGTACGTTATGTATTGGACTGGGCTGGGCTGGTACTTCATTGGTCAGGGCGTGCATGTTAATGAAAATTCCCATCAGAATTTCATAATGATAATAGTAGTAAGGGTAGAGGCGCGGTGGCCTCATGGTTGGTGCGCTCGACTCCGGATCGATTGGTCCGGGTTCGAGCCCCGCCCGGGACTTTGTGTTGTGTTCTTAGGCAAGACACTTTACTCTCACAGTGCCTCTCTTCACCCAGGTGTTTAATTGGGTACCGGCAATTTAATGCTAGGGGTAACCCTTTGATGGACTGGTATCCCTGCGACCCCTTCTCAAGAAGGCTGGTCTTGATGTTGTTCTTAAGAACTACAGACCAGTGAGCAACCTACAGTACATCTCAAAGATAGTTGAGACTGTTGTTGCTAAGCAGCTGTACAAGCATTTGTCTTCGAATAACCTGCTTCCAGTGTATCAATCGGCGTACCGCCTTCACCACAATGCTGAGACCGCTCTGCTAAAGGTTGTAAACGATATTCCACTCAATATGGATAAACAACGGGTGACTTTACTACTTCTCCTTGATCTTAGTGCTGCTTTTGATACTGTGGATCATGGCATGCTGCTACGACGATTAGAAATTAATAATTGGTTCATGCTTTAGCGTGCACTATCGAGTTATGAAGCACGCGGGAAGTTTGGAGAGCACGAAAGAAGCGTAAGAGTTGCCCGAGGCGATAGCCGAGGGCAACTCTAGCTTCTTGACTGCTCTCCAAACTTCCCACGTGCTCCATAACTCGATAGTGCACAGCTGAAAGCATGAACCAATTGTTTTAGAACATAGCCGGTGGAATTGTGCATCAAANGATAACGATAATTCACTCTAATCATAAAAAATATTTACCGACAAATTAAGGTAAAATCCTTAAAAATTATTATTATTATTATTATTATTATTATTATTATTATTATTATTATTATTATTATTAAAGGATAGTCATTATTCTTCGCCCGGGAGGAGGGATGAGGATTTTAGCTGGATCACATGGTTTTCAGGGGAAAAGGAGGAGAGTTCAGTCGTCACCTAGAAAATTGACTGCCAATTAACTAGGGGGGGTCATACAATAATTACTGAGCCATATGGGGTGATTAGGTAAATTTTATGACGACTCAACCAAAATCTTCCGAACCCCTCCCCCTCTCCCTCCTTAGGTGATGTATAATGACCAGTCCCAAATACAAAAAATGTTATAGGTACCCTACCTACAGTATCAGTTTGTTGAAAAAAAATGAAGTTTATTCCAAACTTCTGTTGTTCTCCCGACAGTTGCACGCCTCAAAAAAGTATCGCCTTCCTCAAAACCCACAAAACTGGAAGCAGCACACTCACAAATATCCTGAATCGTTATGCGGACCTCAGAGAACTCAGCATAGCACTTCCGAGGGAACATTTGTACCGCTTTGGCTGGCCAGGTTACTTCAGTTGGAGGAGTGTGGACATGTTCCGATTGAACGGACAGCCAGCTCATATCCTTTGTAATCACGCTCGATACTATAGACCTGCAATGGACATTGTGATGCAGAGCGACACAAAGTATATTACGATTTTGCGCGACCCGGCTAATCAATTTGAGTCCACTTTTAACTACATGGAACTGTATCGTGATTTAAATTTGGCGAAGTTTTCAAATCCAATGGAGGTTTTTCTGAAAAATCCTTATGGACACCTTCAAAACTTAACAAAAAGGGTGAGATCCCTACCTGAATCGATGAATTTGGTGAGAAACGGAATGTTCTTTGATTTAGGTTTCTCGTCATTAATGGGCAGCAGGAAAGACAGTGAACTTCATAACGCTATCGCAAACATTGAGAAGGAATTTTCATTGGTTCTCATAATGGAATATTTCGATGAGAGCCTCGTTCTTCTCAAGCGAGAATTCTGCTGGGACTTAGACGATGTGATTTACATCAAACAAAATCAACGAAAATACGGCAATAATACGTCGCATAAAAATATTTCTGCGCGACTCAAGCACAGGATAAGGAACTGGAACCGAGCCGATGCGTTACTCTACAAACACTTCAATAAGACATTCTGGGAGAAAGTCAAACAGCATGGGAGAGGATTTTACCAAGACCTTGCAGAATTGAAGCGCAAAAATTTGGAGATGTATCGTGACTGTGTTTCCCCTGAGGAAGTGACAGAAACTGCGTTTCGACTGAGTGGAAAAATACGTGGTTTCAAGCTAAATGATGGCGTTTCGCGGTTCAATAGATACCTATGTGAAAAGCTGCTCACAAACGAAATAGACTACATTAACTATTTTCGCCGAAAGTTAAACCCTCACTCAGAGTATCAAAAGCAACTGAGAGCCGCAGGAAAAGCACCTTATACACCGGGTGAAAATAGCATTAGTGAAAGAATTCGCGCGTTTCAAAGCAAACAGGTCCAAATTAACGCAGGAAATCCTGTTCCGAAGCCGAAGCCGTAGTCACAGAAGTCTAGTCGAGGAGCATATCACTTCCCCTAAGGGCATTTTTAAACGATCTCGCGGAAAGAGACGTTTACTTCGTCTATCAATATAGAACGTTTTTATGAGTTCTGGCCGAACATGAACCAAGGAAACATTCGTATGTATTTAGGAGATGAACAGAAATATGTCTAATTGGCCCCTGTGGTCATGCAAATGAACTACTCATGTGCGTAAAAACGCTCTAGCCGTAATGGAACAGTGACAAAAGCTGGGTGGCTGGTGGTTTGTTTAACGCTTCATAAAATTTATTCAGCGGAACTGCGAAATCAAGCAGGTTTCTCCTATTCAGCCGGTGCAAGGTTCTCATTCCATGGTCCTTTATATTAATGTAAATTTTGAACCATGCCGTATACGAACTTTGCATAGAATGAAATATAATTGTATCCATCAATAATGAACTGGGCCGAGCCCGAAAAGGTTTAAAAGCCATAATCCTAAACTTTGCTCTTTTTGTCCATGTTTCATGCTAGCCAAACTTCCCTGCAAGCGAAAATAAGGAGGCATGCTCGGCGAGCTTGAGTCGATTTCAACATGAACAGCAATCATCCTTCCATTGTAAACCAGTCTTTTTTTAAGTATTTTCGCCAGGATTTTCACCTTTGGAGCAGGCAATCACAATCTACCTGTTTTGTCGCACGAAGTTCCTCTTCAAGCTACGAACGCTGAACTGCTGTTGTCAACATTCATATTCAGGGACCTGTTATTTTTATAACCCGGATGGGGAGGGGAAAGAGGACTTTGATTGTGTCAAGATGAATTTACCTGACAAAGCGATACATAATGTCTGGTCCAAGAGTATTTGCGAAACGTACGTGAGCGGAGCCAAATCTGAGGAACTTCCCAATTCCATTTTTCGGTGAAGAGTTCAGGACCAATGGCAGGTTCATCTTTACCAGAAGTAGAGGTAATCGATATTTTAGTGCCGGTAACAATTGAGGAAATCCTGTACATAAATTCTATCTTTCTGACACTATAGACAAGTTTTGTAAGCAAAGAAGACTGTTTTTAGCTTAATAATTTGGATATATCAATAAAGTTGAAGTGGTAAATTGGCCACCGTAACGATTACAAAAGCTGACGTTTCGAGCGTTAGCCCTTCGTCGGAGCGAATAGAGGAATTGTGGGTTGTGTGTGCTTTTAAAGGCAGAGAATGGAGCTACGTTATTGGTGGGAACATGGCAACGAGAAAAACAAGAATAAATTAGTGGAATGAAAAGCGTTCGTTGATCCCTGTGGGATTTAGACTGCCGGTTTGAAAGATGAGCTTTTGTTCAAGATTTTTACGGCTTTCCGTGCTACCTAAGTGTAAGGAAAGACCGCAGATTGCCATATGTTGCTTAGAATGATTAGGTAAATTAAAATGTCTAGCGACTGGTTTCGATGTGTCCTTGTCATTCCTTTCCACGTCTCGAAGGTGTTCTCGGAATCGGTCACCTAGTCTTCTGCCTGTTTCGCCGATGTATATCTTTTTGCAATAAGTGCAAGTTATGCAATAGATTACATTGGCGGAGGTGCACGTGAAGTGATCGGTGATCTTAATGGATCGTTTAGGTCCCGATATTTTATCAGTGTTGTGAATGAAAGGACACGTTTTGCATCGTGCACGAGCGCATTTAAAAGTGCCTGGTTGGTCATTAGTCTGAAAAGAACTTCTGACCAAAAAATTGCCTATGTTTTTGTCGCGTTTGAATGAAATGAGCGGAGGCTGCGAAAAGATAGTGCTTGTCTCTGGATCGTTTTGAAGTAATTTAAAGTTTTTAAGAATGATGGATTTAACTGAGTGGTTGTGTATTTGTGGTGGAAATCAGAGTCATCACTGCATAAACGAGGAAGTCTTAGAAACTGAGAAAAAGGAATGGAATTCTTAACGTGAGATGGATGCGAAGACGAATATAACAAGTAATTATGCGAGTCTGTAGGTTTGTAATACACACTAGTGCATAAACCGTTACCTTCAATTGAAACTTTGTTTTTAGCTTAGCTTTGAAAATAAAATGACTGAAAGCATTTTAAAGGTTGAATTTCATTTAACTTTCGACGGCAGTTGCGCACCGTGGAATTTCGTCATACGTCATACGTAGTCGAAACCCGACAGTGAGAATTTTTCTGTCAGGATATTGATACTCTCAGTACTGGAAATGTTTGGGGAAGACTTTTTTTCGTTGGGGAGTTTCGTCCGCACAAAATCTTTAAATTTCAGCTCCGTTTTACAAATTTTGCGAGTTGCGTTCGACGACACCATAGTGTATGTAAATAAGTCATCTTGACAGATGCAAATCTAATCTTAGATTTGTAGCTGAATACAAGTGCTACATTCTTAAATTTGTAGGCGGTAGACAAGTTCCAACACAATTTTATTTTGGTACAAAGTTTCATTAAACCTGCATTTACTGTTTATCTTTCCGCCGGGTAGCACCTTTTCTGGCCTGCAATCCTTATTTCTATCTCAGCCGGGAAATTCCATGGCCCTTCCCATGGAAACTACAAGATTCTAATTGGGTCTTAACTCGATCATCAATAGAAATTCGTTCTGATGAAAGGCCAACGAATGGAACAATTATACTGTGCTATCAAAGTCGTTTTTTAAAGAGTGCCTGTCCTTGGAATCTTTGGTTCGTTTGCCCCTGACTAAAGAGAGCCAATCTTACGAAATAGATCCAGCCTTCTACAGAACCAGCTAGTTTTACAAAATAACTTAAATTCTGCCTCTGGCTGCTGTTCCTCTTCCTTTCGAAATCTTGTGCCAGATGCCGCACCTGGAATGTCGACTTATTTGAAGTTATAAACCTTTTATCGAGAAGGAAATGCAGCTAAATTTAAATTTCTGTAAATAGCTGAAATCTAAACAAAAAACAGCAGTCCTCCCATGCAACCAACCTCGCCAAACACAAGTCACAAAAGACATGAGTCCTTGGAGAGAACTGGTAATTATGGCAAATGACAAATATTGAATTTCTAGCCGCTTGCTATCGGCCGTTGTTACAAAACTTTGAACAAAACTTTGTTGGCAATTTTTCGACAACATTGCATTCAGGATAATAGGAAATGTTAGTGTTGCCGTTACCATGTTCAAACTCGCCAACACACCATATATTCAAACCGTACTTGGCAAAAAAGTGAACGAAAGGTTATTCTTTCCTCTCTGAATAACCAATTGAAAAACTTTCTGAGGATTTCCCAGCGCGACATCAACGCAGCTGAGAGGTGTCGTAAAGTTTTCTTTAGACCTTTCAAACTCTACCCCTCGAGGATTAGTTTCATTTATTGTTCAAGTCCACAATTACAGTCGTAAATTTTAATTGTTGAAATAATGTACCAGCGATGAAAAGGCTATCGTTCATCTCGAACCTGCAAAATTGATAAGATTCTTCTGAAATCCCATATGAATTTCCGATAAATTGATCGATCCTCTGCAACTTTTAAAAATGAAAAAATTTATGGTACAGTGCATACTCTTATATACAGCGAGGTGCCAAAAATTATCTTTTTGCCATTTCACTGTTATTAGCTGAAGAATATAGTTGGTTATAGGAAAACGTTCGATGGATAGAGGGAAGTCATCCCGACCTTGATTGCAAGGATATACAGCAGGGTCACACCAAACGGCAAACCTCTGTTGAGACAAAACCATTTTTTTCGCCCCTTCTCGGTCAACTCATCAAAGTGGTCATATGTTTTCCATTCTCAATGTATTTTTATTTAAAGCAGTGAAGCTATAGCCTTTTCCGGAGCACTTGCCTCACCTTACAGGTTCAAAAATCTATGTGAATGAGGGAAGAAACACAAGAATTGATAGAATGACTCGTGAATCATCTGTTTCTTTTTTTGTAATCATATTTTGAAATGTCGACTCAAAGGGCTCGTCAAAAAGCTCACTATAAACGCCATAAATTATGGATTAATTATCTTTTTAAATATTACTCAGAAACTTCCTGCGGAGAATTAGTAACCATTCTGGCCATTTTGTTATCTCTCGAAACATTATTATTTGACTTCTGTTCAAACAGTTAACAGTTGGGGAAAATTCAGGACATTTTATCGATTAGTCTTACAAGCAGTTTTCGTCAAAGACAAAATTCGTTTAAATGCGACTTCATGAAAGAAACGGCCCTCTCTTAATTTCGCGATTTCTCAAAATCAAATTTCGTCAAACTAAATAGGCGGAATTACTTGCTTTTTACATTTGCAAATTTCGAGCCAGATTGAAGAATTACTTTTTTCACCAGGAGGACGTTACTTCCTATCTTTTGTGAGATACCTTTTCAGTTATTGCACCTTTTTATTCCAATTTTAAAATGCTGAGTTATTTTGTGTCGCTAACCACCTGAAAGCATTTTCAAAATGTTCATCGAATTTTTTTCATATGTCGTCATGGAAACCTTTGATATGCTAATATATTTAATCTTTGTGCCAACCAAAGAAGATATCCCAACGGCTCGAACCTTTCATGTATGCGCTCGTTTACGTCGAGAAGTTATTTTCACATCTTATTGCATTTTGCGCGGAAGACCTTTTCCTAAACGGAATCGTACCTTCTATCCCATTTTTAATGCAGATATCAAAAGGAAATTATTTTCACAGCCATACATCGACGGCCTTAAATAGAACGTAGGTTAAACATTCGCTGAAATTGGTTTTTAAAGAGCAAGAGTCCGTTGACTTTACGATAGTGAGGTGACAAGGTACTTTGAATTCTGAATAATTTCGCAGTAATTCAACGGTAGAATATTCGCGCGAAGGCTGGTTGACGAAAGGATGCTAGCTGACGAGAGGGTGTTGTATCTATTTATCAGCGATTCGCTCGAACCATGAGGATCTTCACAGCAATATAAATAGCAGATGGGTACTGGTTGTTCAAAATCGGTTGTCGTTATTTCAAACACGAGCTGGAAGACCCACGACGCGCGACCCAGCCAAAGTTCTGCTTCGCATATATCATCTACAAAATGTTCAGGATCCACCATTAAAACTCTTGCGGAGGCCGCAATGTAAGTACGATTCATAATGCTTGCATTACATCTTAAGAAAGACTGAAATTTAATTATTCTCGACTCCTTTCAGACTGCTTTTAAAAGCAAAATGTTGGTACTGAGAGAAGTTTTCACCAAGGAGCTATTTTCCCGAAAATGTGGACCCATTAACAAACGCATCAATTTCTTATAAGTTGGAAACCGTTTCTTTCCCGGAGTACCGTATCGACTTATTTCTTTCTGTCGGCGGCCCATGCGATTATATCGGCAAATTCCAGTTTTAGCAAGAGTGAAGAAAAACCCTAGAACTTCATGTTTTTACGGCAATCGAATGGTTGTTATGAAAAACAAAGCCGTAATTTCGAATCTGACTAAGTCAATCGGAGAATTATTGCTAGCACAATATAAATTGCTTTAAGTGAGGAATGAATCAGATGCATGCTGATCACGAAAACAAAAAGCTGACCAGGCTGGTTTATAAACTAGCTAATAGATAGGACCGAAAACTACCGACGAAAGGTGAAAATAACGTAAGCTTGTACACGTTAAATCTTCACCTGCTAAATGCGTTGTTTAGGAATAATTCATTTGATTCTCTATTTCAATCTCGTTTCCTCTGTTCCAAGCTAATCGAGGCTTTCTTCGCTTCTGTAACGACTTCATCGAGTTCTTTAGTCCAAGAGTTCCTGTTTAATGATAAATTTTGAAAGCATAGATTAAGAATTTTTGTGAACAGCGATGCGTAGTTTCAATTTCAATTGACACTTCAGCTCTTCACAACCTTCATTTATATGCACATAATTTTCCGCGTGTTCTAGACGCGTACGTGGGACTACATATGTTTGAACGAATCGGCTCAAAAAAGTCTGTACCACTATAAATTTACGTATGAGGAGAACAATATATCGTTGCTTTAACGTATGAACGTGGCTGTAATTCAATAAATCATGGCTGGACGATCTCAAATCTGCAAAAGAAATTATTGTCATGAAGATATAAAGCTTTTGTTTCCCTGCACCGCTCACTAAACACGATAGCAGGTGCATAAACATAATAGGGTTGAAATTCATTCATTGCAGCCGCCTGCTTATTTTTCTCTCGAATCAGCACTTGCCTTGTGTTGACACCTCTTTGCCGCCAAAACGAGCCGAACTAATTACTAAAGAGGGAAAAGCACCAAACATTATTTTATGGTTAGCTTTATATCTTGAGACTGTGCTAAGATCCTTCATTATGCGGAACAAAGAAAGTCTTCTTTAAGTTTCAGAAATCTCGTTTACTCAAGGTTTTGATTTACAAATTTTTTTCATTATTAGATTGACTAAGTCATGTCGGGTAGATAGTCAAGGAAAGAGAGAGAAACATTGGCCCTTTTTTTTAGTTTTGCACCTTATATCCTTAGGATCAAAACTTTAGCCAAATGTTCTCTGGTAATGGCCTATTTGTGCATGCAAATTGAAATACCCATATCAATCTCATATGGTGCCTTTACTTTAGGATAGCTTTCCGACAAGATTAGATAAAAGGCAAAGCGTTGAAGAAGTAAGGTGTGCAAGAAACGTTAATAGGACTAAAACCTTGAAAAACTGAATTGAAAAAATAAATGGATATTTTGACAAAGTTCTGCGGTAAACTGTCGCTGGAATATATGAATGTGACGAAAGCGAGCGGCTTTTTAAAAGCAATTATCACCCCCTAAACATCAAAATCCATCAAAACAAGGAAAACGAAGAAAGACCTTTTTAATTTGTTTTATCTCAGAATTTCCATAAAAATATATATAATCCAAGTTTTTTCGTAAAGTCTTGTGCTTAGAGTGAAAACGATAAAGCAACCTCTTCTCAGCCAACGAAATCGTGTTGGCAAATTAAGACAAAATCCAAGGAGATCGATAGGATGGAGAATTTCAACGGTGGATGTAAGAGGCTGCTCATGATCAGGGACATTTCTGGTGTTATTACAGTTTTCTTTAGTCGTGTTTACGAATGGCTTGATTTCCGGCACTCTGCCACATTTGGTCTCCCCAATTCCCGAAAACAAATTGAGTAGCGCGTGCCCTTTTCCAATACTTTGAAGCCCACCTCCACGACTCCGATCCTAGGAGAGTAAAAAAACGAAAAAAGCAAATAGGTACTTTTGTTTGAAATGCTATATCTCTTGTTTTTCGTCTTTATTTTCTGTCTCTCATCTACAGAAATGGCATCGAGTATTTTTCCCTGAATACAAGCGTTCCCTTGGTATTTTTATTCTCTGACTAGTTCGATAAATCTACTTCAACGTAACGTAGCTGAAGGCTAAAATTTTACTCACCTGTTCTTTCAGTTGGAGCCCATTTAAGCTGAGCCGTTCTGAAGCCGAGGAACTTCTGTCTCAAGCGGAGCCCGGTGCCTTTGTTTTTTCCCATGACATGACGTCAGAGTTATTTCTATCGATATGGTGAGAGTATTTCATAGATATAGTTCCTAGTCTTGTCGTGCCTCAAAATGAAATGAAGTTAGATACCATAAGAGCTTCGGTGCATTAATACCGCGGCTTATCCCACTCTCGTGACAAGTAAGGACGTAAGCAAGAGTTTCTAGTGCGCTTACACCTGCAGCTGATGGGGTGCCGGTTCATCGCAAGTTGCCCACAAATAATTTAATCATCCGATAAACTAAACTATATAGGGCCGGTTATTTACACGAGGTCTAGCCCAAACTGCGGTTTCACCCAAGTAATGGGCCTTTGGGATTCTCTATAAGAAGGTTGATTCAATTTAAATAAATATCCATTCGGACCTCTTGACACTCTTCACAAGAATAAATGTACAGATTAAAAACGCGGTTTTGTTAAACAACGGCTAAACTTTGTTTGAATAACAATCCCTGTGTGTTTTGATTGGTTCAGTTACTATGATCAAAAGGAGAACAGACACATAATTATCGTATAAAACAAATAGATTCCACTTTTCCGTGGGTCTGTGCAGGGATAGACCATAGAAGATGTAAAAATATGGTAAGAAAGGCTGTGGCTCGTGTGGTCCCTCTTTGCTCTTATCACATTTTAACATCATCTGTGAACAAACGCAAGGCAACATGATTCTATCTGTTAATTAGATAAAGGGGTAGGTTTCTAAAGAAACTGCGGTGCTGCGTCAGTGGGCAAGTATAATAAGTTCACTTCACTATATACCCTTCCTAGGAGAAGAGAAGCACCAGAAGAGAAAATTTTCTTGTCTTACAACACCAGCCAATGACCTCTAAAACACCTCTCCTGCTTACGATGGGCTACATGATACGTTGAATATCCCTTCAAAACCACTGTTTATTTTTAATGCTTCACAAAACGCAAATAAGTTCAAGAGCACAGAGCGGTAAAAATTAAGGGTCGTGTCATGTGATCATGCAAGACATTCAGTTTAGTTGTATTCCTCTGATCGTATTTTAATTCCATAAAACTGGATCTGATGTTACTAGAGAAACTTCCACTGAAATACTTCTCGAGTACTACTCCGATTGAGGTTAAAATTTAGCTCAAGCTCTCAAACTAGTTTGTCACTATAACTTAAGGTTTGTTCATTCCAGTTTTCTCTAATATTTTTAGTCCTCCTAACAAATTCTCCTAGCTACTGCACACCGGTGGCAAGTCAAAGTGTGAGAGAGTTGGGACGAGTGGTAGGAAAAAGGAAAAATAATCTAAAATAAGAAAATAGAGGTATTTTATATCATGAAGCTTTCTCACGCCCGTTGATGGGAAGATTTCTGAAATGAAAAAGTTTCGCATCTTGTTTTTTTGCAGCGCGGGAAAATACGTGTGCCATCATGCCGTGTTAACACGTGACCAAGGCTACTACGTCGGCGCAAGACGCTTTACGACGATTGGAGCTGTAGTTGATTACTTTAAAGACCATCCTCTGGGAGAAACCACTTTAAAACAAGAGGTAATATGCTTAAAAATGTCACTTCAAGGGCTGAAGAACCGTGCATGAAACGGACTGTATGCACCTAAACGACATAGAGTGTATTTTGATGCATCGTTTCATCATGCAATGTCAAGAAAAATTTTGAGATTTGGAAGGGATTCAAACCCGTGCCTCCGAAATGCTAGTTTGGTGCTACCACCACCAGAGCTACGAAGCCAAACTTTTGGGGTATAGCAAATTTAGAGGGTTCTCCTTTTTACGCGAATCGACTTTTCTGATAAGGCAAACTTTTCTGATTTCGAAACTTTGCCGAAAAGAGATCGAGCAGACATCAAAAAAAACTTTTTTTCAATGTACTGTGGTTTTTCTAAGGCCATATCCACACTGCGTCGTCGAAAACGCAGCTACATTCACTCGGATAAGCCTTCCCTCCACAGTGCGTCGAAGGAATTTGTCTCATTTAACCGACACAGTGTGCACGTAGTCTAAGACGTATTTTCCCTCTATTTTCTAGTTTAAAACACCTAACCCAAGGATCACTTCTCAAGTACAAATCAAACAGCATCCAGATATCATTATCTCTTGTTCAGCACAAATTTCTACAAATGGCCACGACGCTGGTCAATTTCAATGCGATCAGTCGCCTTCCACTCTCCGAACGTCCGTCAGTAGAAAGAATAACCAATCACAATCGCCTAAAATAATGTTGACGTCACATCCGTCAGGGAGAGAAAGGACTCTTACAGACGATGATGGTCAGGTGCTGGTTGCCATAGACAATGATGGGCAAACACCTCCGAGATGCCATCCACGGGTCGATACACTAACAAAGAAACAGTTAACAAGAAGTATGGCAATAGATAGGACTGACTCCTCGGGAGGTAGATATCGCGTTTATTTTCATTGATACGAGACGAAGAACAAAACTGAGACAAGTCGACATGACAAACCATAAGCTTTTAAATAGCAGAAAGGTATCCTCAGGAAACGCTAACGGTAACTACTCGTTCAGTGCAGAACTGAGTTGATCTCGTCTAAAAATCGAGAAAAATTTTTTCTGCAACTGGGTGATTCGAAACATTAACAATTAAATGCTGTGTAAATATGTATTGAAAGTAATATCACACAACACTTAATTGAAAACCCATACCATTAAGACTGAGAGAATAACTGAATACACTAAGATAGCGAAATCATCTGAAGTTCTAGATACGATACCAAAACACTACAGGAGAAAAGTTCAAACAAATGTATTCACTGTTTTTCAACAGTCAATGTACAATGTTTTTCAACAGAAATTCAAGAAACAGCTCTCTCGCCATTGTTACCTACAAGAAGTTCAACAGTTAAATGAGAAATGGCTCACTATGAGTCACGTTCGTCCGAAAAACTCAGTGGTGTTTTCTTGAACCAGGCCTCAGTTAAAGAGAAGCCTACTAAATGAAAATGGCTCACTCTCTCACAGTCTGGACACGTTTTTTGACAGTCCTTCGTATAGAAGTCTATAGAGGTCTTTCATTATTACATACCGTCATGGAAGGGAAACAGAAAAACATTCAACAGTCATAACGAGAAAGACATGAAAAATGTTCTCCAGGTTTGTTCATACGATATTTTTGGTATGGCTACTATTAGGCAAAGAATGCACACGAACCTTTTAAGGTGCGTCACCTTTAATAACCTCTAAAGTGAAAAAATCGAGGATCTCTGGTCCTCCGAAGCTCGATCGTTCCTTTTTAACTCTAGAATGATTTTGAGATCGATTTTGAGCTTTGAATGATTTTGAGATCAAAGCTTTCACACCCAACCTAAACACGTTAACGTTGTTACCGTGCTTTAATCGCGCATGCAAGTGTTTTTGCCTGCCCTGTGAATAAAAAACAATCAAACAAACAAACAAACCAAATGAAACTGATTTTTTTATTTACTGTAATATTACAAATAGTGTAGATAGAGTGAAAAAATATTTTGACTTGTTGGTGAACTTAAAAAAAAATAAATGATGAATTGATTTTCCCAGTTAAATTGCAAGTCATTGCAGAAAAAAGTCTGGAGGAAAATTTAAGGGCAACGACTGATCAACTCATCACAAGGTGTGAAATGGTGTACAACGTCGATAATGAGTTAAAACACAACCGCTCCGTTTAAGATATGAATGAAAGAGCGCACTACATGGTGGAAAGTCATTAAACCACCCTGTACATTCACTAAAACATTAGCAGTAAAATATCGTCTTTCATCACCAATCCTTAATTTTTTAGTTTTTCATTCAGTAGAGAAAGGATGGTGGAAAACTCAGTCTGCTGTGATACACATGAATTATGTAACATACCTTACCAAGGAGAAGACAGCTTGAATGGCACACTTTATATTAAAATTTTGAGGTTTATGCCTTTATTGTATTCTCTTGAACCTTAACTTTGATAAAAATACAGGTTTTCTGATATGACCTTTGTCTTCGAAATGGAATGGGGAAAATATATTTACCCCAGGTCCCGCCGAAATGTTGTCCTCTCACCGATGCGCTCTATGGTTAACAATTGCTGTAGGTTCGTCGTAAGCTTGCTGTCTATTAACAGCACTATATTTTCGCATTAAAGCATGAACAAAGATATACAGCAATCGTAATATGAATAAGCCAACGCCATGTAAAACTTCACCCATTTTTACCGCAGTCCTTCCTCTTCCACTCCAAAGACCTACGATGATGTAAAATAATTTATTTCAATAAAACGAAACCCCTGGCTTATTTGGTTTAACCCCTAGTAGATTGTTTCAATTCACTTTCTCGTTTTTCAGCAGTCCGAGTCTTTTCGTTTTAGTCGATTTTGCGCTAAAGCCTGACGCAGACATCTGGCTTCTTAAAAGGGAGATGTAAAGTATGGAATGAAATCATAACTCAAGACATTCCCTGCAACATAAGTCAACCGATGCAGTCCCTATTTCAACTCATAAATTCAATTACCAAACACACTCTACCTCTAAAAAATTGTTCACTTTCTCAAGAGGTTCTGGAGTTTGGTTTTCACTTCAGTTTCATTTTGTTCAACAAGTTTTCTTCCCGAAGGTCCTCCTGAATATAGGGGGAGAGAAGGAGATCCAAGAATCATCCTTCTTTCCCCATCTTCAACAGGCGTTGATTTCTGGTGCAGGACCACAGATCCCTTATCTCTTGCTCGACTGCAAGGTATTCCCTCTACCACCCTCGTTAACTTAAATCAAGTTTCACCCGACACTTTTCAACCTTCCCTGCTTAGTCATCTGTTTCAAAGCAATAAAAAAATCGGGCTTGAGTAGATGTGGTCGTCCACTCGGTACACCAAAGACAATCGATAACCCACTTTCTTCATTGGAAAGACAACGTTCTTCACTGGCCTAGTACTTGCATAATATTCTGACTTCCGCCTCCTTTTCCTTAAGCTTCAGGGTGTCTGGAAATGTGTGATTTTTCATATTGACAGAGAAGGGCCCTAACCATTTCCAAAGTCGAACAACTACATAATTTCGTAAACATCTGGTCTGCATTAGCAAGTAACTTTGGGAAATAGTGGGTGGGGGTTCAAAAACTCGAGACTTTAGGGCAAACGGTAATGAAAATGGGTCTTTTTTACCACCAAAAAAATAAGCAAGAAATCGATAAAAAAAAAGCTTTGCCTGTTGTTCATCAGGAGCTGTCTCTGTAGTGTTGAATTACCTGGTTCATCAAGTTTACAGTCGTAAACATTTGTTTAGGCTAAATGGGGTCTAATTACCATGGCACAGGGTGCAAAACCAAAAACCAAGGTCATCACAACTGCCAATCAGAGCTAAGACAAATATCACAAGTAGCCAATAGAAATGCAAAGTAAAAGGAAGCAAAGTGTGAAAGGTGTGGAAAATGTGAGTGACAGTATCAAGATTTGTTTAGTTTTCAAACTGATTACTTGCGTCTTGGGATGATGGGACGAGTTTTCACGACAAATCATCCATCAGCAAAGTGGGGCATAACTAAAACAAACCCAGCTTACTTTCAATGGCTTTGGGCCCCCACAAAGAAATAGGTGAAGAGATTTATTACATAGATATCACTCACAGACTTACAAAATGAAAATCACTGAAAATCTTAACAACATAGGCCAAGTTGACCTATTTCTGGAAATGAACATTTCAATCTCTTTAATACCTCACTTCACTTCACACATACCAGAGCAAAGTAAATTTTGAAAGCTACAAGCAAGTTTTCAGGAGCTTGAGCTGCACTTAAATCAATTGAACATTTGAAAAGAAGTAAACAAATTCATGATGACATTCCAAGAAAAGTACATATTTGTCCAATTCAACTGCTAATTATATCATTTTTATTGTCAATAGATACAGTGCTTTTATATTAAATATTCTAAAAAATTTTAAATACAATCATTTGAAAAGTTCTCAGTAATATAAATATATTTTTAACAATTGGAGGAAATTCTGACACTGACTTTATCATTGTCACCTAATTCTGATTTCTCTGTTTATAAACTATTAACTTTTCCTAAACTTTAACATGAGACAAGATAATACTTTCATATAATAAATTAAAATTATCATATTTCTAAATCATCTGCAACAAGGCCATTCATTAAAGAAAAAACTGTGGTAGAGAGATCTTGATGATCTCCTACATTGAAAATCAACCGAAAACTAAGGAAATATAAAATTACATTTGATTTGAATCTTACAACACATTCTAGTTAAAAAAAATTTAGAAAAACTTGTTTTGCACAAGACTTCCAAATGATCATTATCTGTTTACACAATATCTTATTTATTCACCAGTTTTATCCCTTCCAGCAATGCTGAGGCTTACAAATCCAAGAGGTATTCTACAATGTCCTTCCTGTAGCCATTTTGTACTGACCACTTTAGGACACACACTCAGACTAGTTCTCCACATTTCAAGTAACCCAATACCTGACATCCATACTAAAGTTCCTCAAGAAAATAAGACAAACCCCTTCAATTGACCATCACCCATCTACTTTGGCCTTGTATAAAAACATGAATGCCAATGAGCTTCAGATCATACAAAAGAGTTATTTATATACATGTATAAGTAACAGTTGTTGATATTACTTAAACCCTGCATTTTAATTTCAAACTGAAGTTGATCCCTGTCTGCCTGCAATAGCACATATTACATAGTGGCGAGAAAATATTCCACAATATCAAAGGAGAAGTAGATTTACCACACATTACCAACCACATGACTACAAAGGGACTTCTTGCTAGATTAGTTCATTATTTTATCCACCACTGTAAGTCATGAGCTGCTAAAATTTGACTGCAGAAAAGTTGATGGTTCACTCATCAACTTCAATCTCCTTCAGTTACCTCACATAGGGAATTACACCTGTTTTTCTAGCTAAATTTTGATAATCCCTGAAAGAACTGCAAAACTTTAAAACTTTGCAGGGGTAAAAGAATTTAACAAAAAAAACAAAACATAGGAAAAATGTTTTTAAGATCAGGAATCAGTGCATCAAATGGAATACTGGTAAGTTGCACCATAAATTATGGAAAATGAAAATGAAAACTAACAGATGTTAACATCTGTATCTCTTATTTTTTATATCCTTTCTCACCGTCACTACCGGTCTGAATGTGTTACTGCACAAAGAGGGAGTGGATGAAAAAAGTCCCAGTAGAAAGATGTTCAATTTTGAACATCACAGAACACAAGGCCTTCTCTGTACATGTTGAAACATAAAATTAAAGCCTTTTCTCACAATTTGCTTACAGTGTACACTAGTGAGAAAATTTCAACACTTGATCTTTTATGATTCCAAAACCCTCAATTTCAATAGAATCATCTTTAACATTGAGGGTTGCAAATGCATTTGAATCTAAAGGAGCTTCCACAACAGCATCAAAAATATAATGATGAATACCCTTTTCATCAACTGCATAACCATACTGATGTGTATGGCCATGAAAACATGCAACCACACAATGAAACTGCCACAACACTTTCAGAACATCTTGGTAGTTCCATAATATTGTCATGGCGTCTGGGAGTCCAGGGTAGATAGGGACGTGGCTGAATATCACAGCCTTTTGGCCATGTTCTTTGGCGGTTTTCAAAGTAGCTTCAAGCCATGACAATTGCTCTAAGCTGATTGCACCATTGAACTTCACAAAACGTCGATCTAAGCCATTGAGACCAACGGGACTGTGCAGATCGTCATTTTTGTTGTATCTTCGTATCATTTCATAAGCTTCTCTATACTGGCAGCTGCTTTCGTCAACGCCAAGAATGCTGACGTCGTAACTGTCCAGGTAAACGAATAAAAATTTGGGATGGGGTACAAACGAGAAGTAAAATGGTTTCGTTTTCTTCTTCGCTGATGTCAGTCTGTCATCACTGTTTAGAAATGCTGCGCTAAGACGGTTGTTCGAAGGATGAAGAGAAGAATTTTCAAGCTCTTGGCGAGAGAAATTATAGAGTTCATGATTTCCCATGTTGTGAAACACGGGTACCCCATCTGGCAGTTTGGAAAATTCGTTCATCACGGCTTCGAGAGCTTCTTGAGAGAAATTTCTCCCACTGTCATTAGTGTCAATTAGGTCTGCATTAAAGCCGTCGATGATATCTCCCAGTTGTACTATGAAGGCTGGCGAACTCTTCGCATCTTTCCAATGAGCAACAGCTCCTCGAAGGCAACTGAGAGCGTTTCGGTATCGTCGCCATTTTGTTTTAAAGTAGTTCAGTCGATCGCGAATATCTGCGTATTGGATGTCAGTGATCACACCAAATGAAAACAAGACATTGCTTTCACTGCTACCCTCACAAATCATCACAGATAAATTTTTCTCTACCTCCACCGTAATTTTTTCAAGAGCTGGATCACAAATGCCTCGTAACCATTTTCAATTTCGCTCCTTGTCTGAGGGGACTCAGCGGGGGTTAAGTATCGATGGCAACCCTGCTGACCAGTAGGCCGACACTTTGTAGAGACAAGAGTATAAGAGGAAAGATGGCTCATCCTCGGTGTAAAAACCTGTGAAGCTCACGAGTGACGTAAAACAAAGACAACAAAACATTATAAACCATAGCATACAGCAAAACAATGCCCCATGAAACAAAGAAAACCTTGTCAGGTTTTTACACCGAGGATGACCCGAAAATATGGGCCGACGTAATGATCAACACGTTTTAATTTTTGACGGATATAATTTAAGAAATAACAATAAATATCAGCTATTAGAGTTACAAAAAACCTAATTAGTTTGTAATTCTATTGCCCTTCGAAACAGCCAAATAAGTAATGCAGGATTGGTTACTTATTTACACAAATTCAAAAACTTTACAAAAATTGCTCAAGTACAATTTCTTCAATTAACAAATGGTAAACACCACAGCGTACACCATTGAGTTATGAATGCACGCGGGAGGTTGCTAAGCACAAAAGAAGCGTAAGAGTCGCTCGGGCAAGTAATTCATGGCAGTCTCCATTTAGACTCCCTGTTACCCAGTCTCCGTATAGACTCCCCGTGTACCCCGTGTACCCCGTGTACCCTGTGTTCCTATGTGTACCCTGTGTATCCTGTGTACCCATGTCTACCCTCTGTACCCTGTTTACCCATTATACACTTTGTACCCATGTATATAATGTATATCTTTGTATACTTCCTATACTCTGTCTACCTTGTGTATCTTGTACACCCTGTATTTAACAATTATTCCACGAGCGCGCGTTGGATGTGAGATGATAGATAGCCAACGAGGCGCGTAGTGCCGAGTTGGCTATAATCATCTCATATCCAACAAGCGCGAGTGGAATAATTGTTTTATTAAAAACACCCCAAGAAATTATTATTTTGTAAGAAGAAACTGGATTTTTTAGCTCCCTTTTGATTTTAAGCTGACGCGTACGCTTACCATATTTGTAGATCATGGTATATTGGCTGATATACCATAATGGCTAAGCCAATAAAAAGTCTTGAATTGCATTATCCAATGATCCAGTTTTTAATAAATTCATGTATACCCAAGTATATTCATGTATACCCAAGTGTACCCTGTATACCATGTATACAGGAAACCTGGCAAACATCAGTTGGAATCAATGGAAGCTCTCTGGCCGAACACAATCCCGTTTTGTACGTTTTGTACAAAT